ATTCACGAAGGATCGAGAAAGAAGTGGCGTGATACTAGTCACGTGACCTCGCTGACGCAACAATATAAACATTATTAGGCTTCGCTGTTTCGAGCGTGTTTTATATAAGTCAACTTATTCACCCGCTCGGATTATAATCGAAGTTATTTTCATCCAAGCATGTCAATATTTTGATTTCTTTAATGGATCATATGGACTCATGATAAAAGTTAAGAATATTTTATAGCTCTGCTTCAAAAAATAATCTGTAAAAGTAATTATTAAAGAATCTACTTTCTTGAATCCTTATTTGTGATAGGTAATAAAAGACATCGGTTTTGTTTTTGTAAGACATAACGTGGGTAAATTTGTATGTAAAACTATACACGGACTTTCATCTTCGTTCAAATACTTTTCTTTTACCTGCGAGCTTTCGACCATCTTACCGGAGCCTTCATTGGGTAAAAATGTACATTTATATCCGTACAAAATAATTATGGTGTAATTATGACATTTTATTGTTTTTTTTAGGCAAGGGTGTTACATACAGTTATTGGTGTGAAAGACAATAAAAAAAAGACATATTATGCAGCTTGAATAGTACGTAATTTGATTAATAAACTGAATTCGTGGATTATAATGGAATATATGAAAGCTAAACGAAATGACGAATTAGAAATATTTAAAAACTGGAATCAAGAACTTCGATGGTTTATTCAAGATCAAAATGTCGGGAAACTTTCGTCTTTTTTACAAACTTTTTAAATGTTTTATATTGTGTATTGAATGAGTAAATTATATAGAAACTCGATTTTTAGCGTTATAAACCCTCTGACTTGCCGTTGAGCTACCGAGGGATAATCAGGAAAAAATATGCAGTTAATAAAGAAACTTGACGGATACAAAAAAAGTAGCATTTCTATTCGCTAGTTTTGAATGTGTTAGAAACACACACACACATATATACAAAACGTTGAGCAGACATAGTCATTGCTCATACTCGGAAGTTCTGACTGTTGGGAAGTGAGTGTGGAATATTGGACATCTATCTGCTGGCATAGGATATTTAGACATTTGTTATCTACCACGATATAAAGATCAATCAAATGCTATCTCTGAAACTCTTAGTCGGAGGTGGCCCAGCATGGCCAGGTGGTTAGGTCACTCGACTCGCAATCTGAGGGTCGCGGGTTCGAATCCCCGTCCCACCAAACATGCTCGCCCTTTTAGCCGTAGGGGCGTTATAATGTGACGGTCAATTTATTTGTTGGTAAAAGAGTAGCCCAAGAGTTGGCGGTGGGTGGTGATGACTAGCTGCCTTCCCTCTAGTCTTACACTGCTAAATTAGGGACGGCTAGCGCAGATGGCCCTCGTGTAGCTTTGTGCGAAATTCAAAACAAACAGTCGGAGGTAAAAATGTGTCAATAGAATTTAGCGCACAACGATGTTACCCCAGAAACGTTGTTTTCCTGATGCGTTTCGCATAAATTTGCATTATGCTTTTTTAAATCATAAATATTTTGCTTTAGTACAGAGTGAGTCATAAAAGTATGCAAGTATAGGCATGCAGATGAACCTTTATATCATGACATCAAGTAACGTAATAAATAACCCTCTATATCCCTAAACACCAAATGTCAGGAAAGTTTTCGATATTCCACACCTACTTTACAATAACAAGAAAAGTAAAAATTTTGACTCGCCCTGTATACCAATGGTATATTATAATATTGGATAACCAAGTAGAATCGGCTCTTTGACAAATAACAACATATACTCTGTAAATTGAGAACTAACAGCTTCGACTACATTTCATAATGAAAAATACAATATTTACCTTTCCTTCTGGAGATCTGTTCGGATCATTCACATCGTCAGATGGTTTGGGCACGTGCGCACGACAGTATACATTGCCGTTAGTGGTGAAAAAACTTTGTAACGTCAACTTTGTGTTGCAGTGACTACACCTAAAACAGCTGTGATGGAAGGTTGCCCCCCGGTTGGGTTCAATGTTTTCGGTAGGATAAACCGTTTCCCCACACCTCTGGCAGTATTTATTTCTTTGTGGAGTTGCAATCCGTCTTGTTCTTCGTGCTCTAGCATCATTTGCAACTTTATGGACGATTCTACCATTTTCGACCTCACTCTCCATTTGCTCAACTAATGACGTAATGTTGTTTGTCACACAGCTTTCGGTCTTATTCTCGGTGCTAATTTCTATTGAATTTAAATTCTGCCGTACAGAAGTACTCTTTCTACTATGGGTTGGTTCGATTGAAAAGTTTACAAATACCTCGTTGTATTCGTTAGGCTTTTGCTCTTGGTCTCTAGTGACCTGCTGAAGTCTTTCAATGTTCCACGGCATGACGGTCAGTGTCGGTGTTGAAAGAAGACGTCGATGTTCAGTTCGTATTTTCTCCAACCTTTCCGTTAACTGGTGCCAACTCGCCTCGTATATGCGTGTATATTCCACTATTCCCGGTTTCCAAGTGCGCCCGTGGTCACGGCCTCTGCCCCACGCTTCATCCACGAGATTCTGTGAATAAAGTGTTCTGGTCACTGGTGTATGACCACTCCGCACTGGGGTTGCTCCAAGTGCCAACACTTTCATTGTAGAAGCAACGAAATAGACAGTCTGATTGTCTCGAGCGAAATCGTTACTTCCAGACTGTTTCGTCAGTAAGATACCAGTTTCACAAACCGTGATTTACCTACAATCAAGTTGTACACGAGAAACAATGAAATGTACAAGTCTATTTTATCTTTCGTCGGAAACGACTGACAATAAATAATAAGTAGTGAGAATGGGAAGTAATGATCCAGCTACTGGTACAAAGGACAGAGCACAGAACGGCACTGATTACATAAAAAAAAACATTACGTTCGATAAATAAGCACATTATCAGATCGGTAAACCCACACGTAAATTTTCTCAAATCACGTGTAACTACATCAGAGGCTTGAGAACCCCCTGGCGACCACAACAACAACATTCCCCTCTCTAGAGCCGAATTCACAAAAACTTCACTCCAACAAACATTACATCTTTATATTTATAATTTAGGTCATATGATACAATTACGCAAGTAAACTCATTTTCGAAAGCATGAGACGCGAGGGTAAGGCTTGAATGTTCCCCTCTCCTATTTTAGATAAAGAAATCCCTCAGGCCTGAACTAACGACCTTCACTGCACACAACATCATCGCATTATGTGGTTAGCAGTAATTGTCGATAAAATTTTAAGACCTTTTTTTTTGTATATTTGCAAGTCATTACCTGAATGTTTGTTTGAATCTCGCGCGAAGCTACACGAGGGCTATCTGCGCTAGCCGTCCCTAATTTAGCAGTGTAAGACTAGAGGGAAGGTAGCTAGTCATCACCACCCACCGCCAACTCTTGGGCTATTCTTTTACCAA